AATAAGAATTATTATAATTACATAATAACATAAATTTGCTATAAGGCGTATTGTATGATATAGATTTTTAAAGAAATTAAAATTATGTCCGAATAGCGGTTTCGTTGGATTTATTTTATGTTGATAAAAATTATACATGTAAATTACAGTAATGCAATTTGAGTAACTAGTGGTACAATTAAATGAACAGTTGTATAATTTGTAAAATGGGGATTGGTCCGGCGTTAGACGGACAGAGGGCATTCTTCTGGTTATTAAAAAAAAAAAGTATGTACCTCGCAAGGATTTAATGTGAAATTATTTGCTCTTAAAGAATAAACCTGGAATCTTTGAAAATCTAACAAATATCACTAGCTGATTGCCTACATTCAAGCACTGAATTGTACCGCAGATCATTTCGTATATTTGCCTCTAAATGTAGTTTAGTTTTGCTCATTATCATTATCAAAAGACCCACCTACAAAAACGTTCCAATCAAAATTATTGCGACTCATAACAAAAGCACCTTGGTACGTGACTAACAAAACTCTACATACTGACCTCCACTTTCTAACAGTTGACCAACATATAACGTCCCTTTATCAACGATTTTACACAAATTTAAATGGACATAATAACAGACTTATAAGAGACATTGCCACAGCTGACATACCTCAGAACATAAGGAGGAGATTAAAAAGGCGTTGGATGAGAGATCTCCTACCTTAGACAACCTAAGTAATTGGAACAAGTTAGGGAAGAGGTACTGCTGAGTACTTTCCTTCCCCGTGCCTGTCATGTCATTATATCATGCATCGCCATCACATTTGTTGACTGTCAACAATAAGTTGAAAGGCGCAAATATATTTTTGATAGACAAAAAAAAAAAATGTTTTGCTCAAAAACGTTAATTAAAAATGATTACAAAAACAATTTTTGTGAGTACAGAAATGGTAAAGAATATTCAAGCCATTTTTTTAACTTCAATCTCGATAATAAGATAAATACGAAATATTCTATAAATACCTGACAATCATGATTACGTTAACATAAATGCTAAGATTATGTTTAAATACAATTAAATATTATAGCATAATTGGAAATGTAATTTTCTAAAAAAAACTGATATTGTATTATACAGTTCTGTTGCACCTATGAAAAGTGTGTTAATTGCAAGTTTGTGAATTGGTATAGGTATCACAAGAAAGTTAATTTTCCTTTCTTTCTTTGTCAAATTGAATAAGTACATTCCTTTGTGAATCATGTGCTGAAACTCAAAAATTGAACTTCAATCTGTGAACATTACAAACTTTCAATAGCGTTTTTTCAAGGGTGAAGTGCTCATATATGAGTAGCCTATTTTTAAAGTGAATCCTAATAAATTTTTTTTTAGACAGCGGGATAAGTGTCGGTTCCCATGAAAATCATCTAATGAATCTGATAATGCATCTTTTTTTTTATTTTTAGCCGAACCTAATTATTAATAAAAGTGGTATGAAAATATGTTTATTTCCAAAACCTTATTCTTTTTTTTTTCAAGGAATGTAATGAAGCTAAATAAGTTTTCTTAAAAAACATAATTCATCAACAGATTTTTCAACCGTTTTATTTAAATGACAATAAAAATTAAATCAATTTTATTGTACTATTATTGTAAAAAATTTAATTATTGTAAAGTTAATTTTTATAGCACTACCTTTAAAACTGTCCCCCCTCATAGATCATTTACCATTTTTTCTCTCTAAACCGAATCTTAACCATTATTTTCCATTTGTTTATAATCCGGCCTTGAAGTTTGATTCTTTCCAAATGCAGCGCTTTTAAATTTTCAAAGTTTTGTATTACTATTGAAAAAATTAGTGATTTTCATAAATATGTGCTATACCATAAATAAGGAATTGTTTAATTTATTTTTTTAATTATTGGTTTCGACACTACCATTGGAATGGAAAATATAGTTTTTCGCGTTCCTTGAAAAATGTTCAATGATGATCAGAGTTAATTTTAGAAATAAACGACTCATCTGACTGAAATGATAGGATTGAAGAAAACAAAGGTCAGAATTGAGAAAAATATTTTTTTTTTTTTAAATGGAGTATGCAATGGTTTAAAACGGAATCAATTAATTTAAAAGTGTAGAATCAGCATTAATTTTGTAATCATTTTCATTCAGAACGTTGAAAGACTAAACAACAATTCGTTTCTGTTAAGATATTTTCAAAATTTTATTTTAATTTTGTTTACGTTGAAAGAGGAGTGGTATAACTACCCCACATCGCTACCCCTCTGGATTCGCCCATGGAAGAAAATGCAATAATATTATAATAATATGAAAAATAATATAATATGAATATAAAATATGGTAGCGAGTATAACATAAGACTAATAGTTAGTGAGTCACCATTTTCCCGAATGACGGTAGGAAGGAAACGGTGGAGCAAGGTCGCAGACGGGTCAACATACCTTCTCGTCTGGTCGCATTCAGTTTTCCCGAATCTACTTCTGCCTCTTCTGTGTCTATCCTAGTCCTCCTTTCGTAACCTCTTTTGGGGACTATTTTCATTACTTTAAGATAATTAAATAAGAAGTGACCGAAAAACATATTTTTCAGATAGATTTAAACACACTTTCTTAATATTAAAATTAACCTGAACGATTTGGCCCTTTCTATTTTTTAATACTTTTAAGAAAACATTTTATTTTATTTGTTCATTTCCAATTTTTTTTTATTACTAATCACCAAAAATTGAAATTAAAAATTAATAAAATGACTTAATTTGTGATAAACACATATATCGTTCTCCAATAAGGAAATAAAACTTCTATCAACGTCAAATTAATTGTACATATATTACTTTATACCGAATAAATAAAAATGAAATCAAAAATATCGAGAAAAGATTTCAAAGCATAATTGCTCCAAGAAATTGTTAATCGAGTATATGATAAAAGATAAACAAAGTAATTTTTATTAAAAAATAAATAAATAATACAATGAATGATATTAACTTATATCGTAGGTATGTTAGAAGAAGAAAAATATTCTTCGTACTCCTCCCTTACGATTTACCATTATGTTAATAAGATACCTATGGATTGTTTAAAATATATATAGAATTTTAAAATGAGAAATATAAGAATATTTATTAATAAAAGTAAAGATTTGAATACAATTGTTATCCTACAATTAAATGTCAGATACAAAATAAGTATAAAACATATGAGCAATATTTTTTGTCTTATCTTCATAAAATGCAAATATTACTACTTTAATACTAGTACATTAAATTCTGGTATTGTGTCCCGATTTAAAAAGTGGCTACTACAAAGGCGAGTTATCCTAGTCTGAATTTTTTTTCTCAATTTTATTTATATACTTAATAAAAAACAAACAAGATTATTAAGTATACAAGAGTAACCTATCGAGGAAGTACAAGAGCCGGCATCATTTAAATTAATGATCCAAGCCCAGAGAGGCATCCGAAGACAAAGAGGAAGGGGATGCTAAGGTGGGGGCGGAGGAGTGGGGGCCGCGAAGAAAACCGCCCGCCGTCTCCGGCCTCGCCACATAGTGCTCCGACACACCGTCAGCCACGTCTCCCAGGATAACACGGACTCTTCGGAGGATAAACAAAGTGAGTAGCATCTGCATCCTAGCCTTTAGCCGGGGCGAAACACAGGGATATGAGGGCGGAAGGGTATCGGCGGCATCAACGTTTGTTCACTGGAGACTTTAACGCAGTATTTAGCGGTGACTTCAATGCATGTGTCGCTGAAGACTTTAACATCACTTTCGGTGACTTTACGTTACGAAACGAAATACTGCAATAATAATTTTCTATTTTTTACATATTTTATATATTTATATATATATATATATATATATATATATATATATATATAAACAAGACACAAATGCCTGGGGCACCCGCATCATTGCAGTAAAAAGACATTTAAAAAAGAACTAGACAAGTTAATCTGCTAAACATAAATAGCGAATGTTAATTTCATATTCAAAAAATACAATATTTGATAGTCCACATACATCTTCTCTATGGTAAATAGTTATAGGTTCGAAATTTCTACAAATGATATAAAATGGGGACAAAAACTTATTAAGTTTACAAAACAATATGAGTAAATTATTTTGTTTTATTCCATATTTTCATGGAATAAAAATCATAAATAAAACAAGGTTATAAACAAACTATAGTTTCGATGGCTATTCAACCGACTATTATAAATTATATGTGAATTTGTTCAGATCATAAACGTTGTTTATTGCTAATACCAATAAAATATTTTAATTGCACCGTATTCCATAACAACAGGTAATAAATACACCCAAATTATTCAGACGAAAAGACACTTTTATTGTCTGTATAGTTTGTAATAAACGGTATAATGATGTAATTATTATAGCAATAAAATAGCATAGGGAACAAGAAGCAATAACAGCATATGTAAGGCGCATGGGTGATACTATACCGCACGGCGTCAAAACAAGCGGGAACTAGTTGGGTGACATTATAAACCCGATTTGTTAATTTTATTTTAAATATATTATATTGTAAATATTTTTAATTTATTATTATGGTGAATTCGCAAAAATAATAATCTTCAAAATTAGGTAATCTTTTGCAAGATGATAAATTTTGAATAAATAAAAATCAACTAAGTCCATTATTAAAATATATTTGATAATAATTCATTAACAAAATTAAACCCTTAATAATTAAATTATATAAATAAGATAAAATAATACCGATGTCATAACAAAAATGTATATTTAAAATAAGTGTAATGTAGGATCAGCATTTTTCAAGTGAATCGAAAAAAAAAGTCATTAGAATAAAAATTTTTCTAACGATTAAAAAGGAAAAAATATTAAATATTCCATATAGAATATTTATGTTGGTTGTTGTTTCAATGAAGAAACGAGGTACACGCGGTTTTCCCAGTAGCCTGGTAGATATGAGAAAAATGGTCAATAAAGTTCATGTATTATAGCTTGAAGAGCATCACGGACGAAAGAAGTCTTCCGGGAAGGGGATATTGAAGAGGTGACAATATCGAAGATTGCCGACGGTACGTTTATCCACGCCCCATTCCGCTAGGAGAGGGACCATAAACCAGAACAAATTAAAATGCGATTTTCGCATAATTGAATTGCACGCAGGCATACAGAACTATCTCCCGGAATAGAATGACTTGAGTTCTTAAAAGAAACTATAATAAAAATATAAGTAAAACAATGCAAGGAATCATATTCATAACTATTGAAAAAAATATTTAAAGTGAGACTAATTTCATAATTTATTTTTTTGTAAACCAACAAGAATTTCAATCCAATTTTTTAATTACACATAAAAAATAAGATAAATAAAAAAAAATCCTCAAAATCTGTAACAATTAGGAAATAATCACTTATTTTGTTAAAATCAGATACATAAAAAATTAAAAAAATAAATTAAAAAAAAATATATATATATATATATATATATCTTTGTTTCACTTATATACTCCTTAGTCGAAGTAGTGCCCCATTTTTAACCAAGGTCATCTCCAATCCTTTTTTAAAATTTTGATTTAAAAATTTAGATATCAATCAGCAAAATAAAATGCAAGAATATTCAGGAAAGCGTAAATATGGATAGGAGTTCAATAATAATTATATGAATGTTAGTGATTTCGATTTATTATTTATTATTTTACAAGTCCGGATTAAAAAAATATATATATGTGTATATATATATATATATATATATATATATATATATATATATATATATATATATATATATATATAAAATATATATATATATATATATATATATATATATATATATATATATATATATATATATACAAAGATAGGTTATAATAATTATAATCTAACATTGGATTTGCTGCCTCTTGGTGAGTTTTTTTTTTTTACCGATTTCTTAGACATGATGAGAAGAGAGAGAGAGAAAAAAAAAGTTGATAAAATTAAAAGAATGAGATTCATATTTCGGATTCGAGACAGTTCATAGCTTCTGACTGGAGACTGCTAAAGTGACCGCACGTTTTAACACCCTCAGCCATGGCAGACTCACATGTAATCCATTGATTTTTCTTTACATTTTTACTATTTTCTCAATTTAATGTAAATTACAAATTATTGCCTTTAAGTAATTAAGTAAATATAGTTCAAGTTCCTTAGGGTAATTTTCCATATTGTTCCATAAAGTTATAGTAAATTTGACAAAAAAATTTCTTTGCCAGATTTTTATGTAATTTTTTCATCTGAAGAATCAGACATTCCATGTGCTATTTTAATTTAATTCATTATTAAAAAATAAATTTATGAAAATCAATTATTATTAAAGATGCACAATGAATGTGATTAAAGTATATACAAGTTTAAAATGTTTAAAAAAATTCAATTTTCTCGTAAAAGTACATCAATAATGCACGGAAATTTTTAATAGGCATAATTTAATTTAAATTTAATCTAATATAGAAAATATATACGTATGTATAAATACCATCTATAAATTCCACAAATTATCATGGAGATATTGGAGAACCATGAACAATTTTTTTTTTTCTACCGATCATCCACAGCTATAAGTGACCATAACTGGACTGAGTAATTGTCAGATAGGGACGAAGCACGATAGACAAAAGACGTGAAACTCTATATCAAGTTTATCGTCTCGGAAGCGGGCATTGATCTGGGAAACTTCTTCTAATTATCCTCTGCAACGATACTCCTTATCTTCGGCAAGGATCGGTCAGGAAGGCGTAAGGCCAAGTCGTGTTCTCCCAGGGGAGAGTTCCAGTATCATCTCTCCCCTGATGAAGGTATCAGGAAGGAGTGTCGATCTCTTGGACCGATATCACTTCATGAGAACTGAGTCTGGAAATGCAGGATTTGAAATTGCATCTTGTATTTCAAATAATGATATACATTAATGTATCTATGATATACATGATATATGTATCAAGCTTCACTCCAAAAAGAAGTTTAGTTTAGACAAACGTATTCTTTGATAAGCTGGGTCTCGTGGTTTGGAATATGGATCGTATAAGTATAAACATATATATACACTCATATACGTACATGTAAACTACATATAGATACACACACACATCTATACATGCACCTAATGAGTACATAAGCAAAAGCATTAAATGAACTGGATAATATCAGTCATTTTTGCCGAAAAACAAAGAACCAATACTCAAATAAAAAAAAAACCACTTGACAGAAAGTGTCTTCAGTTAAATTTTTTAATAAAAGGGAAAAAAACAAAAAAATGATCTCCAGCACTCCACGACGGAAACGATAATTATAGTTCTCTCTGTGCTATAATTTTAACTAGTTATGTTCATAACTTGATGTAGAAAATAGAAACTTAGAGTCATGGATAGGGGGGAGGAGTCTTCTGTTAAATCTACACCATTATACTTAAACCTTTGTTCCTTCTAGCAAGTCGGGAAGCATAATTGCTTCCAGATTTATTGACGTTTATGGCTACTGTTCTGTTCTAACGGATCGTTATGTAAAAGAAAGTCCAGTTACAAAGACTCTGGTTTAAGTACAATTACAATTGATTTATAAATATTAATTACATCAAATAAAATATAAGTTACGTCCTCTCGAAATTTCAGAGGAAAACGTTAAGATGGGAAAAAAAAACTTTATTTGCAATTAACTCTAAAAGTAAACATTTTTTTTCTCGACTGTACCCATGATAATTTGAAGGGTTACTAAATTCCCTAAACAAAAAAAAATCATCGATCATAGATTAGAAATTTTAAACTTAAAACAATTTCTAGCGGCCGAAGAAGCTAAGTGGGTTCAAATAATTTTTTAAAAGCTAAACAGAGTTGAGATTTCTATTTCGCACCTCGAAAAATACTCAAATTTTTCATACCAATCGAAAAATAAAAATGTTTTGCAATAAAGTAGAGTCAAGGCTTCCCCCATTGGATTTTTTTATTAGACCCACGATTAATTGAAAAATAATAATTTTCTACAAAACAAAAAGATGATCGAGATCGAACAATTTTCAGCAAAGAAACAGCCTATAGTAATGTACATACTTTTTTTTATTATCATCAATTCAATAATGTAATTCCACGGAAAAAAAAAATCTATCATAGTACATTGCACTAATTTATCTATATAATATTGTTCTTTGTTCACTGACCAATATACTAACCAAATTATTTGCACGGGTCATCTAGCTAATAATAATTTTCAAGCGTACGCAATGACGGAGAATTATGTTTTTTAATAAAAAGTACCCCTCGCATCATTACCGCTTTTCTTCTTTTCGTCCCTACAGACAGGGACCATTTCAAGAAGTTGCAATCGTGATGGGATCCAGAAGAGATGGGATTGCATTCTGCGGTTGAGACTGCTGATGGAGAATGCTGCAGTCATCAGGTGACCATCGCGTGCCCCCGGCTTCTTACTCAGCCGACAGTGGTCCCGGCCATTGTGCCGCTTCATAAATCCGAGGCATAAAGCAGATATTGTCGTAGGGTCTTTGGCTCCATAAAGCGCACGCGCAATTCAGCGAGCTGTCAACGGCATGGCGGTGGTTTAATCTGAATTCATGTTCTGAGCAATATACAATGGCAATCATATTCTTGCACTTCGGGCGGACATTACGCTTCACTGTTTTAGGTAAAGAGGTAAAGCGCATGACCAGATTTTTTTTTTCTGATTGTAAAACTTTCTACACAAAAAAAGTGGGTGTTTGTTCCTTCATCGAGAGAGAATCGATAACCATTATGATCAAGCATAATTAATGACTACATCAACTGCTTCTAAAACAGTCGGTAATGAATTAGTAATTCATTATCAGCTACTGACAAAGTATCGTAGTTGAAGTAGTTTATGTACTTTTGATGAAGTGTATCAGTATATTACTTTCTGTGTGTAAATATCCGTATATTTACCTAGTAAATTTAATTAGAAATCCTTATCCCTAATTAACTTTACAAGGTTAATGAAGGATTTACAAGGATAATACCTAATAGGAGCTGGTTAGTGTCCTTAATTTGAGATTTTTCGGGATTTCAATAACCTTGAAAATAAAAGGATAAATAAAGGATCAAATTCCAAAAACACAACCATGATTCTCAAAAGTGCAGTTATACTTATATAAAGTATATAAGTATAAACTAAACTTTAACGACGAATGATCTAATAAGAGTTGATCGTCGTATAAACACTTGCATAGTTAAACGAGATATTGAAATTATAATAGTTTTTATTACAGTTTTTATATATTTTTTAGGACCTACACCACCCTGGGCCGTCAAATCTCTTGTAAAAACAAATAATATATAGCTACATTTTTATAAAATACAGAACGAGATATCTTGTTTGTTTGCCATTGCCAGGAATACCATAAATCCTAACGATAATATATCTAAAAAATATTTTTCCCTATTTGAATTTAATAGTTTTATTTTAAGTGATTGATGATTCATTGTGTAATGTTCATTGTTTTTTTATTAGAGATTTTAGGTGTTATTTATGAGCAACTTCTCTGGAACGGGCAATAGTGCGTTGGCCGTCGCATCCTGTGTGTAAACGATGGCTTGTTGTTTAAAATTCGGTCTAATTCATTATTTTATTTAATTCATTCATAATTTAATATATATATATATATATATATATAAAGGCTCTAAAACGTATTGTAGGTTCATCAACCCTGTGTGTATTGCCTGACCCTCACCCTCTTAATCAATTCTAATGACCAGTGATTTCGTTAATGGTCTTGCCAAAATGCATAAGACCAGGAGCCCAGAATGAGAGTGGTTATGATGCCATGTCCCCCAAGAACATGTCCGCCCTCCTTTGGAGACCGCACTCCTTGTTGTTTTTTTAGAGATAAAAGTGGCGGAGAGGGACGATCTCCAAGGAGGCGGAAGAGAAGATAACGGGACCGACCAGGAGGCGGCCGGAGGTTTGGGGTAGGTTTGGAATGGCGGTTTTCGTTTTTTATCTAACATAACAAACGATTCAATATTCTAGTTTTAAACAGTAATTTTTGTATAACATTCAAACCTTCTGATCGCTGTTTGAGCATCAACTACCTTCTTCTTTAAAACCAAAATTTAATCATAAATAATGTTACATGGTTCAGTAACATTGAGGATGGTACTGATTAACTATGGTCGCTGGGCCGCTGGCGTAGCTGTGGCTTCGAAACGTTTTTTCGCGATATTTATTAATCTAGCGCTAGAATTAATTAATATTTAATTATTCAAGGAACAAAAATTTAAGAATTAAAAAAATTTAGTTGAATACAGATATACGGGTGTGTGTATTTATTGATAAATGAAAATAGCAACAGTTAAATATCATTATATTATAATAACATAATAAATATTAAAATATTATAAAATATTACAGTAAAATAATGATGAGGTCTCCATTAGCACTACTTCACCTTTCTGCGGCCTCTGATGATAAAAAAGGCTTCCTCCCTAAAACCTAAGCATTATAAGATTTTAAAATCGTAATATATTAAAGTAAAGAACTGGTTTGTTTAAGGAGGGCTTTCAACTTTTACAACCTACGACCCGCAGGAACGGAATAACAAACACTAATAGAACGAATTTTTAAGATCGACTTTTTAGCAGAATCAACTGAACTTTAGAATAAAAGTTTTTTTTTTTTAAACAAAAGTTCTGTAAAACATTTACTTAAAAAATTGCAAAGAAAAGAGTTGTAAAATAACTGAAAAACTATCGACAGTCAAAATTCCGATAATACTGAAACTATTTAAAAATAATTTTTTTTTCCGTTTCAAGCCATGATAGTTTTCTTTAAATAGTTTAAAAAAGGCATAGCTAGTGTCCTAAATATGCTAATTTGCGGCTACAGCCGTGCGGCACAGCCAGTGTGCATTAATTTCATCTCGAAATAAGAAATACAGCCATATAAAGACATTAGCCCAGTCATTGCACTATTCTCATCGCACCCCGCCATTTGCTGAAGGAGGATGATGAGAGCGAAATGGAAGAGGCCTCACCAAATTAACCGGCGCCGCTTATCACGGCTAACTAAGAACCTCGATTACGAGGGAAGGAAATAAATCTGCAGTTCTGGTCGGCAACACAGTTAGGTCGTTAGGTGGTTCTAGCCACACAAAGCCGCTCCGTCTCTCGTCTCTGTCTTGTTCCATCGCTATAATTGTCGCGTCACAGGGTAGTTTGTTCTATCGCGAAGAGGACCAGGGATTAGCTGTATTATAGTATACGAATTTTAAAAAATGAGGCCTAGATATCCAAAACCAGTAAACTTTATCTTATTTTTTAATTTTATTTTTTTATTAGGTAACAATTTTGGTATTAAATTATCTAATATTAAAATGTAAAAGGATTTTTTTCTGAAATGACAAGCTATTAAATTTTTTTTCTTGAATTGGTTTACCTCAGTATAAAGTAATTACACAACTGTCAATTAATTGAATTAAATAATTAAAATGTAGTTGGTTGGTTTCAGAATTCTTCAACCGAAAAGTTTTCTATAAATAATGTTAGTAATCCATCAAAACAATTTAAATTTGTTTTTTCGGTCATATTTTTTTTTTTTTATTGTATATTAATACATTCTGCCACATTAAAGGGAATTAATATTAAGGATACATCAATCATTCACACAATATGTTCATACAAATAATAACTAAGAATTTAAATTTAAATTTTAAATGTTAAAAAACATATCATTCCTTTTAGATTTTTAATTGAGTTCTACCAATGGGTAGTTTCTCTTCATGTTTTACATGTCATGTTACCAATGTCACATTTACTTGTTGTATTTTTAATGTAATACAGTTGTAAATTTCATTAAAATAAAAAAAAAAAAAAGATTTTTAAATCTTCGTAAATAATTTTTAAGCATATTTAAAAAAAATTAATTTCGGTTTATAATGCTATACATTTATAATCGAAGAAAAATATTAACTAAAAATTAATTTATAATTAAATTAATATCAGCCTAGTTTCGTACACTCAAAATAAATATTATCATTTATTTTTGCCTTCTTATTTGACTGATCATCCCAACTATTCTTCGCTTCACTCAAAAACTTTGTTTTACATTTTCTTTTTAACAATTGATTACTTATAGCATTATCATTTTTTTTTTCATTTATCAGCCTTATAACCTTATGGATACAATAATTTTCAAACGTTACTGATATTGCTATTTTTTTTTTCGTTTGCATATTTAAATACTTTATTTATTGTATCCATTATTTATCTGAATAAATTATCCATTTTTTTATTGTATTTTCTTTTTTTTTGGCAGCATGAAAATATTATTTCTGATCAGTTATTACTAAATTAACATTTTTCTATATTTACAATCCAACTACAACAGAGGTTATATAGATTACTTTATATATGTCCTTCCAACAATAACAGATAATTGATAACCACTTGTCATCCACTATTCATGGCTTATAGCCACGATATTGAAGCTACAAAGAGACGCGAGACACAAATCTTGCGGCCATAATGTTACATCTGTTAGCCGCGATGAGAAGATGCTCATCCCGCTTGAGGACTATAGGACCGAACCAGTGAAATGCAAATGCGTAGTGGTAATGAGATCCGGTAATGGCGGCGCTGAATGATCGTGAGGCAACTGGTCCATTCATCCTTAGTGAGTCCATCATCAATTACATCACAGCTTCATCTGGACCGTTAGTGACCCCGTCCCGTAAGGCACCACTTTGGGGCATCTTCCTATCGGTGTCGTTTTTAGCTTGTGCTTGAATAGAAAAAAAAACAAAAAACTTTATTCTAAGACAAAGTCAATCTTGAAAATAACAAAATATACAAAAAAAAAATATTACTTCTGGTCAGAAGGTCTAATACATTACGTAAAAAAAAAAAACAGAAAATAATATATAAATAATAATAATAATAATAAATTTATTTATTGAGCAATTTTACAAATGCCTTTTGGCATATTTTGTAAATGTGATGTTCGTTAGCGAACCTCCTCTCCGGGATTAGCGTGAATACGTGATTGGAGAAGCCTCCCAGTGAAGGCACTCCTAACGTGACTCCTGACGCAGCAGATCTCTGCTCCAGAGGCGCTTGAGTCTCCTTGGTGGATTCTGTGGTAGTGTGTCTGTTAGCAATGTTTGTACAAGTGGATTAGGATGTCCAGCTAAGGAGTCATGGAAACTTTTATAATATTTTTTAATTACATCAGTCACTTGTGATATTTGTAGGTCTTTATGAAGTGATTTATTGGTTATGTAGAAGGGACAATGAGTGATATACCGGAGAAATTTAGATTGGAAAATTTGAATAGTCTGTAAGTGTGTTTTTTTGCATGAACCCCACACCTGAGAGGCATACGTCCATATTGGTCTGAGTAGCATGTTGTATATAGTAATTTTGTTAGAAAGTGATAGTTTGTTTTTATGGTGTAGCATTCGTCTTAGTAGTGATAACCGATGGTTCAATCTCTTTTTTAATGTAGTCACGTGTGATTTCCAGGTCAGTCGTCTGTCCATTGTGAGTCCTAGATATTTTGTCTCAGTATGATTTGGCAAAGGGGTGTTGTAAAGTGTCAGTGGAGGGCAATCCGAACGTTTAAGTGTAAATGTAACCTGGTTTGATTTTTGAATGTTAATTTTTATGCGCCATTTATCAAGCCAGTCTTGTAGAAGATTTAAATGAATCTGTGCTTTCTGAGATGCTGTGATCGGATTAGAGTCAGTCGAGAGTATGACAGTGTCGTCTGCGTAAGTTGCGAGTAATGTGTCTGGTGTCTGTGGAATATCAGAAGAGTAAATTGAGTACAGAACCGGACCTAAAATACTGCCCTGCGGTACTCCCGCGCCGATTCGGCAATAGTCGGAGTATTTACCATCCTGGCTAACAATAAAAAATCTATCCTCAAGATACGATCTGATTATTAAATAATATGTATGCGGAAAGATTGGTTTAATTTTACAAAGTAGACCATCATGCCACACTTTATCAAAGGCCTGTGAGACGTCTAAGAAAGCTGTTGTGCAAAATTCCTTCTTTTCCAATGCCACAGCAATTGTATCAATCACTCTATGACATTGTTGTATAGTAGAGTGTGCAGGTCTAAATCCAAATTGGTGATTAGGAATAACATTGTTTGCTTCTAAAAATGGATAGAGCCGTTTTAATAATAATTTTTCAAATATTTTGGAAAATAAGGGTAAAAGACTGATAGGCCTATAGGACGTGACTTGGTCTAAAGGTTTGCTTGGTTTCGGTATCATTTTTATGATTGAAAATTTCCATACTAGAGGAAAGTAAGTAAGTCGAAGGATAGAATTGTAAATAGCTGTCAGGAAGATTAATGCTTTTTTGGGTAGAAGTCGTACAATTTTAGGTGTGATTAGGTCAAAGCCAGGAGATTTTCTGCGAGGTAATTTTTTAATACAAAATTCTATGTCCGAAGGAGTTATAGGGGAAGGAGGTAGAGAAAGGGGAAGAGGAGAAATTAGGATTTGTTGGACGTCTGAGCAGTGCTGTTGGTCAGGCAACTCTTCATGTGGATGAAATACGTCTGTAAGATGAGTAGCAAATAAGTCTGCTTTCTCTTTATCGCTTCTAGCCCATGAGTTGTCTGGTTTACGGAGAGGAGTCTTTGTTTGGTGGTACCCTAGTATCTTTCGGGTTTGTTGCCAGAGAGTATTGTTACTTGTCTGTAAGGTGGTCAGATGTTTTTTGTAAGTTTCCTGTTTGTATTGTTGTATAAGTTTTCTAAGTTTGTTAGAAAGTGCGTTTAGTATCTGTTTGTCACTGGGATAGCGAGATCTTTTCCATTGGTTGAGAGCACGTCGTTTTTCAATTAGAAGTGATCGTATTTCCGGGGGTAAGTACTGTTTGTCGCGGTTGGTCTCGTACTTGTGTGCTGATTGCCAAGCGGCAGTTTGTACAGTCTTAGTAAGCGTCTCTACTGCATTGTCAATATCATTTTCCGTCTTTAATCTTGTGTTTAGATCAATAGTCTTATTAATAATGGAATGAAATTTATCAATTAATATTGGTCCAGGAGTTAGTGTAGGTGTGTGGTTGATAGTAAACATGTGTCTAGAGAGAGATAAAATAACCGCTGAATGGTCTGATGATAAGTCGTTACTAATAGAGATATGATGGTGTAGTGTGTGTAGGCTAGAAGTTATAAAGAAATCAAGTAATTCTGGTTGACGGTTTATGTCTGTCGGCCAGTAAGTCGGTTCAGGTGGTAGTATGCAGTTATAGTCCAGTTCTATACATGTATTAAAAAGAGAGTTTCCTCTAGAATTATTGGTCCTATTGCCGAAACGGGCATGCTTGGCGTTAAAATCGCCTCCACATAAGAATTTAGGTCCTAAGCTGCCAAGTATGTCTGTAAACGTTTCTTGTGAAACTCTTTGTCTCGGAGGACAATATGCACTGGCAATAGAAATTTTGGTGTGATCGATTTCAACCGAAATAGATGATAATTGAATTTCTGGTAAGGCAGTCATTTGAAGAGGATAGTGGTATAATGTTCGTTTTACGACTATTGCCGAGCCACCACGGGCAGTACCGCTGGGATGGTCAGCGCGGTACAATACATACCCTTGTATGTAAAATGTTGTAGTTTGAGTAAAATGAGTTTCTGTTAGTAATGCAATGTCAATGTCATTTTCATGTAAATAAATGTCAAGTTCATTCCTTCGGTGTAGGGCTCCATTTGAATTCCAAAGAAGGATTTTTAGAGAGTGTTGTGAGATAGAATTAGGGACTAACATGAGGAATAAATTTGGTAATTAGCGTGGTGAGAAGAGTGATGAGCGGAGTTATCATAGATTTAAAATCGTTTAAGAAGGAATTAAAATATAATGAGAGATCTGGAGTATTAGGTTGTGTATTAGATGTTGTGTGATGAGGTCTTGAGTATGAGGTTGACGTGTATTGATACGGTATGTATTGAGATTGGGTATAATGAGGTACTGAACGGTCAGGGATTATACTCGTTTGGTTTATTGAGTGCTGAGGAGTTATACTTGTAGTATGAGAAGTAGTGTATTGAGGAGATATATTTGGAGTTCGAGGATCTGTAATTTGAGGAGTCGTATGATGAGGAATGGTATTGTGAGGAGATATATTTGAAGTTTGGGGATTTGTAATTTGAGGAGCTACATGATGAGGAATGATATTGTGAGGGATTACATAACGAGAAGATTCATTTGAAGTTTTGGGATTTGTAATTTGAGTTGTATGATGAGGAGCTATATTGTGAGAGATTGCGTAGTGAGGAGTTACACTCGTTGTTTGAGCAGTTGTGAATTGTGGTGTTGTGTTGTGATATGTAGTTTTAGTACACGTTGCCTGTGCGTAAGTCGTGTTGTGTAGTTTTTGCGAGATAGGGACGGTGTAAGTAAGTCGGTCGTGTTCCGCCTCTGGAGGCAGGTGTTCTGTTACCTCTCTACTCGAAGTGGCCTGGTTCCACACGTTGAGTCTTCTTTTCTGCAGCTCTAGATGCACTATGCATCCCCTATAGTTCGCAGGATGATTGCCACTGCACAACGCACAAACAGGTGGCTCTTCAAGTGGTTTCTGGCACCTATCACTAGGATGATCTTGACCGCACTTCACACATCGTGGTTTATGATGGCAAAATGTTCTGGTGTGCCCGTATTCTTGGCATCTCATACATTGAACAATATTTCTTCTTTTGTAAGGTTCTTCAATCCTAACTCTTGTGTAAGCCAAGTTAGTGATATTAAAAACTTCAGCATTGTTTGGAGCTGGCTCTAAGTCAACAAAGAAGAGTGGGAGTGGTTCTTTTGATCTCGGGTGTAACACATTAGTGATGAGACGGATGTTGAATCCTTTTCTTTCAAGGTCATATCTTATCATTTCGTGTGGTGTTGAATAATGGAGATTTCTAATAACAAACCTATATGGTTTGTCTTCTTGGGATTGATAAGTGTGAAAGTTGTAATTGTTTGTTTCTAAATATTTAATGCAGACTCTATAGGCTTCACTTGTTTTAATTTTTAATGTAACAATCGATTTGTTAGAGAAACATTCAAAATTATTTTCTCCTAAAAGGCTTACTAAATTCGTGCAGAGAGTTTGGAAGTTTGTTATGCCTTTTATTTTAATTGGAGGTGGTTGATGAGTAACTATTGTTTCGTCAGGTTCGTCTTCCATTTCCGTAGAAAGAGGTTCAAACCTATTACTGACCGGAACGTTAGGGATACTATTTATTGTTGATGGTGTATTTGTTGCATTTGAACTCTGAACAACATTTTCTGGTACTCCAGTGTTGTTAGCATCATGTTCTAGTATAGATTCAATGATATGGGTCGCAGAGTTATTATTTTCAATAATTAAAGTATTCATTTCAGTATTCGTGGAGTTAGGGAGGTTATGTGAATTAACATATGTTTGCTTTTGGTTAGGATTTTTTGATGTTGTTTTTATCACAGAATTGTTTGAACTCGCTCTCTTTTTCTCATTTGTCCCGTCTTTCGATGAAATACTTGAAGTGGATCTTACCTTTCTCTTCAGCAGTTTTGACAAAACGGCCTGATCCGACAGTTCACTCGAGCCAGCTAACTGGCGTGCACTCATAAGTAAAGTGTCTGTTTTCACTTTAAAAAAAAAACTATACAAACAGATTATTCCTTTAAAGAGAACACATTTTCACTATAAGACACATGGGTAAGAAAGATAGCAAGCTTATCTGTCCCTGGAAACCAGACACACGAAAGTAAATAAACTTATATATAAATAATAATTAAAAATACTAGAAACCAGGGCTTGAAATAAAATTTAAGCTTTTATTTTTAGTCAATTTAGATATGGTTGAAATCTTTATTGCCAAATTTTTCCGGCTATTTCGGAACTAATAATTTTACCTTAAAACTTTTTAAGTGAAGGATTTACACAACTTTTATTTTTAAAAGTTCAGTTCAAAAGTTCAGTTGATTTCGCCAAAAATCTGACTTTTATTCTTAATTTTTTTTCTCTATTATTTATTCAGAAATATAATAATCTGTCACGTGGACAATAATTAAAGTGAGATATAAACACGTCCACACCAATTCTTAAATAACCAACAAATGACACATTCGAATCAATTAGTTCATTTATGGTAAATAATGACTCAAATTTAAGGCCAATTACTCCTTATTTTTCATTTAACCTAACATATTTTTAAGAACTTAAATAAATGAAAGTTATATCTTTAAGGCAAATCTAGAACTTTATTAGAAAAAAGTTTCTTAGAATATTTATTATAAAACAAACATCTTTTCCTTGAGTTTCAAATAATCGATTAAAATGAAACTTTTTAGAAGGTTCACTTACAAGTTTCAATCTATGCTTAAAAGTGTAAACAAAACACTTCAAACTACGTACAAAATCCGTCGAAAATGGTAAAACAGAATACATAGTCACTTCTAAGAAATATTTTTTTATAAGCACTGAGTTTTTACTAAGAAAAAAGAAAGTATGAAAATTGAAAAGAGATCTCTCATCCAGTTTTTAGTCTCCTCCTCATGTTCTGGGTTATGTCAGCTGTGGCCATGTCTCTTATTAATCCGTTGTTATGTCCGTTTAAATTACCATAAAATCGTTGGTAAAGAGTTGTTATATATTGGTCAACTGTTGGAAGGTGGATGTCAGAATGTAGTTTTTTAGTCACGTACCAAGGTGCTTTTGTTATGAGTCGCAATTATTTTGATTGGAAGGTTTGAAGTTTTTGTTGGTGAGTCTTTTTAGTGATATCGTATATTTGTGATGTATATATCCATGTGGGTTTAAGTAAGTATGTATATAAATTCAGGTTCTGTATCTTTCATTTAAAAAAAAGGTATATTTTTAGTCGTACCGTAAAAGAGAGAAAAAAAGAGAGAACAAAAGAAGAGAAAGATGGTGATCCAAATATAGAAACATTAATTGGATAAAGACAGCATTTATGTATAATGGCATGTATAAAATGCACGTAAATACATCAAACGAAGAGCATGGTGATTTATTAATTTTGGATTATCAAGAATTTAAATAACTAAATAATAATAATATAATAAATGAAGAACATGAATAAATGCATACATGGCAAAAAACAAAACTACCATTTTATGAAAAGTGACATGAAATACATGTAAAAAGGCAAAAGTAATAAGAACAGAGAAATGTTCCTACGTACATGGGTAGCAGGCATTTGATTGCTCTATAAAATAGGAATTGGACAAGGAGAGTTTTAAATGCGTGCAAGGAGAGGGTATACCGAATTATAATGGAGAAGATATTCCAGTAAGTGAAATTTATGTTTATATATTGTTATAAATGAAGATTCCAACATTTTTTTCCGGAACTAGCATCATGCTTGTTCAATTTTGGGGGGGAAATAACAATGACAACATTCAGCTACAATATAATCCATCATATAAGGCGTTTAAACAACATCGATGAAGAAGGCATCAAAACGAAGCAAAATGCACAGCTACGAACTTAACAAGTGCTCTACTAACTCACTTACAAGGCGAAATGAACACATCAAGCAGTGACAAATCCGAGATAGAAAGGCACGACAGGACAAACACATATGAAGGACTCCTCTTTTCCCGGTTCACGATAAGAATATGATGAACTTTCTTTTTTTCACAAAGGATTTCCCGTGTCATATATACAGAGCATGAGGCCGAAAAGCACAGAGTAAAAAAAAAATATATATAAGAAAGAAGCCGGAGGAGGGAGAAGATATTTTGTAGGGTGGGGAGTGTGGAGGAGTAAGGCATTGTTAACTTCACTGTGGAGAACGGCTGCTGAGAATGCGGCATGCCCTAGACGACTAGGGAAAAAAAAACCGAAACGCATATGTAACCGAGAAATTATAAAGTGGAAGAATACTCTGTAGGGTGCGCATCTCCTTTGAGCTCTCAGAGGATTTGATGATCATATTTAAATAGTATGCTATGGTAGACCTCATCATCATGGAAACGTGAATGTACTCCAAGAAGAAAACCAACAAGAGAGCTGAACGCAATATGAAAACGTCGATAAAACAGATGTGAAACCTTGGAGACTTCAATGCAAGTTGCATATTGAAAAAAAAAAAGAAATAGAACTATATCTAAATAATACGCCATTGACAAAAACAAATAATTTTTCCTCTCTGAAAACAAACAAATAAACTAAATTCCATATTACATAAAATCGAAAAGAACATTGTGATATACTAATATTATTGTATAACAATACATTATTTGATAAGCTACATAAAATTAAGTTCAAACATGTATAATAGCATGTTATTAACAAAAAATATAAATATAATATAAAACTGAAACATTATTTCAAAGGAATTAGCAATTCTGATAATGATAGAATTGAACTTTTTTTTCACTTGACCCAATAATATGATAGAACAAATTTTTAAAAATTTAAGCCGTGAGATGTGACAAAAATAACAGGGTTTTTTTTTTCATTTATCTATTACTGGAATACATTAATTTAAAAACACAATCGCATTAAAATATACTTCAAAGGGTGACAATTATGAATCTCTACATAAAGTTTTAATCTGATATCAATAGTTACAATAACACATCTTTATGAATGATACACTCATTTTACATTAGAAATGAATGTATTAGCAATTTGTGATGTATTTTGAGATTTTAATCTGTCTGATTTAAATTGAAAGTTAAACAATAAATTTGTTTCAAAACAAAGATTTTTAGTGAAAAATAATATTGTTTATACCAATTTCGGTACTAATTGTCGGATTTAATTGTTGTTTCTTTTTTTTCCCCGTAACTACAGAATTTAAACTATGTTAACGATAATCGTTTCGAAAAAAAATAATAGTGAAATTAAGCCAAAACATGGTATAATTATTCAAGGTTATAATATAATAATATAATATAATAAAATACTTTTATTTCATAATATAAAGGTGGTTGGACTCGAACCCCCCCCCCCTCCACCGTTTCTCAACCTCAGTTAATCAACCTGCAGAAGTGAGAAAAATAATAAGTTAATAATAATAAGATATGATACAATAATAACTGTTCGGGAAAAAAAACTTATAAGAAACATATAAAAAATGTCTATTGTTATTAATAAAAAAAGAATGTTCATTGTTCCCAGACGAAGCAAGATTTAATATTATAAGGAATGCCGATTTTTTTTTTTTTTGTTTTTTTTCTAAAACAAAAGCTAGGAAGCAATCCGAGATAAAACCTGCAATTGAAGGTTAAAAACAGTCCATCATTGCTAACTGTAAAGAGGAGGTTTGACAAAGATCAACCGATCCGTTTTTCATCGGAGGATCGACAAACCACAATAGCCGGAAGCAAGGACGGCCCGAGCACGTAGCTTACAAATTGTCCCAGGATCAATACCCGCTCATAATCCCATCAACTTCTTTTACTTATTTTTTCAAGAACACTGGCCTGGCAATAATTTTTTTGTCTGCTGAAAAAAAGGAAAAAAATACATACAAAGAAGATGGAAATGATATACTTAGTAACGGGCGCCTTAAGATACGTTAGTTCTCTTGATCTTCAATAATATGAATAGGGGTCTCCAAACTTATTGGCTCGCGAGCTACATGGAGACCTACACAAGTACCATAGGCCATATTTGTCGAAAAAAATAACTTGTTCTTTAAATAACACTGCGTTAGTGAAAGAGTTTTCTAAAAGCAATAGCTCATGCAATATATGTTTTAGTAACCTTGTGTTTGAGTGATTTACTAAATTTTACATTTTGTAAATTATTTTTAAGTAATCAAAGAAACTTTTTCGGGCAGGATAGTAGATGCTCGAGGGACGTAGTTTGGAGAACCTAGTATAGACTAGAAGTGGGGAATCTTTTAGTCATTCCAGGCCGCAAGGTTAGACGTTGATAATGGAGGTCGCAATAATTATTAAATTTTACATATGCTGTTTTTATTTATAAGTAAATATAATAACATACATAAATTAAACTTAATTACATTAATTTTCGTAGCCTAATTAAATGAAAATTAACTAATTGTAGCGCTAGGTTGATAAGTACCAAAAAAAAATAGCGGAGAAAGCAGCTAGCTCACGGAGGCCACTTGCGGCCTCGAGGCCGCAGGTTCAGACTTGTGGTATAGAACATAGAAGTTATAAAGTGATAATAGAGGCCGCAATATTATTTTAAAATTAATTTTAGAGTTTATATTTTTATTTGCAAACGTACACACCAAAGTACGTACATTCAACTTAATTACGATTAGAATAATTAAAATTAATCAAAGTTTCATAAAAGAAATTATTTTACAGATTTCCTTGTTTTTTTTTTATTTCAATTCATTCATATTATTATTTCGTAACAATAAATAAAACAATATAATAATTATAAATGTTTATAATTCACAATATTTAAATGATGCAAAATAATCATTAGACTTAAATTAAACCACACTTGTTCTCTAATATCATGTTAATTGAGGATCAATTTTGCGATGGCGATAGTTTTTTTTCTACTGAACTTCATTAATTTAAATAAAATAAAAGCTCAAAACTCATTTTAGAATTCTCTTGTCATAGGAGTCAGAAAATTTCGTTTACAGCTTATCTAAAAGATAGAGCTAC